TAAATGATTTTTCTTTTGCAAGAAACTCGATTTTCAAAATAAATAAAAAGGTGATAGCGGCTGATTAAGATGGCAAAAATTTAATATATCAAATTTGAAATCCGAGTGAGAGTAGATACACATATATAAAAGAAATCTAAAGACCACAACTTCAGCTTCCATCTTCAATATCTCAGCACAGAACCTTCTGTTACTCAAGAAAAACAAAATAAATATATAAAATAATCTATTTTTAAACGCAATAAAACATACACATAAGTAGTACGTGCAGGGTTTTAAAGACACTATCTCAATTCTTTCAATTCATATCCAAATAAGGTTAATCACAAACACTGTAACTCTCACGGAAAAATTACATCAAGTTTAGACCTTCACCCATCTTTTTAATAGATCAAGTTGATAAAAAACAGTATTACGGAAAGACTAAAACACACTTTATTCTCCTTTAATTTTTTAAAAATACGTTCAGTTCTAAACTATTCAAAACGATATGCAGAAAAGAATCACAAGACTAAAACTCATAACTGATCATTCAAATGAGAATAAGACATCATGCACAAACATAAACACTGTTATCCATACGGTGAATTCGCAACTTCAGACTCCAAAGACACGGTCAAGTAACGCGCGAAATCTGTCAACCAAAAATATCAAAAAATGAGAAAAAATGGTTAAACCAACATCAACAAGTTACGACTAGTAGAAGGAAAAAAAAAAAAAAAAAAAAAAAACCAGCTCTAGTGTATAAAATTGGACCTGAAATCGTCAGAGGCTGAGCATGCAAGATGGAACAGGAGGGGAGAATCGGTACGAGTACGGGGTCGGGAATGGGTGCTGACGTTTCGAGTTTTGGTAAAAGCCGGGTGGTTTTGATGAGGGAGATATTTACCAGTTACAGAATGCGGTTAAAGTGATGGGGTTTGGGACGGTGCGAGAAATGGAGGGAAAGAGAACCAGATTAAAAAGGAGAACGATCGGCGATAAACGGTGGTGGGCGATAGAGGTAAGTAGATTTATTGGGTGGAGAAAACCGCAGCACCCCGGAAGTGGCGGCGGCTGTCGGCGAGAGTTTGGGGTTGCAGGGGGAGTCTAGGGTTTTGTGAAATGTGGGTAAATGAGGATCGGAATGGTTTGATCGGGAGAAGAAGAGAGGGAATTCGGAGAAGAGAGTGGGTTGGTGAAGCAGAGATGA